GAGGGTCAGAGGGAGAAGCAGACCCCCCGCCGAGCAGGGAGCCCAATGCGGGACTCGATCCCGGGACTCCAGGATCATGACCTGAGCCGAAGGCAGTCGCTTAACCAACTGAGCCACCCAGGCACCCTTGATCTGAGTTTCTAAAGCAAAAATCAATCCCTATCCTCTGCTCCGCTCACCCTGCTCCCAAAAACACACAAAAGAGCTAAACTACCCCCCACCCGACCCCCAAAGAGTCACTGACCTGGAACACAAGTACAGCAATCTGACTTCAGGGAGGTCTGACAGGGGCCGGGAGGACACTCAGGGGAGATGCAGGACACATTTCCGGCCTGACGAGGGGAGAGATGGTGCTGGGTGGGGGCAGAGGGGAGGAGGAGAACCAGGCCCTCCCACCCCTCAGCTCATTCCCTATTTCAAGCCACTCCTCAGGTCTCCTGCCCAACCCCAAAGCCTCCTAAAGGAAGCCATCCAAGATCTCTGAATGCCACCACGGTGACAAGGACAGTGTGCAGGGACCCAGGTCCTGGCGTTTACTACGGTGTGCTGAGAACATCCTCCCACAGCATACAGAAGCTCTGGAAGGATGCCGGGGAGAGGCGAACAGAGGTTACTCCACCGGAGACACCTTCCTGTGCATCTGAGTTTTGAACCAGGTGACTCTATTGGCTAGTCAAAGAATTAACTTTAAAACTAAATTTCAAAATTTGAAATTAAGGCAAAAAAAAACCCCACAAAAAAACAAAAAAACAAAAACCCTCCTCTGGAGCCAGCCAGAGCTGAGAAGCAGTGTTTGCTCCTCCACTGAGTCATGTGACTTTGGCCAATGTATGTCAGCCCGCTGAGCCTCAGTCTCCCTATCTGTGAGGAGCTGGAAATGGCACCTCCATTGGGGCTTGCGGAGGATTCGTGCCACATGACCCACGAAAGTGCTCGGCCGCTGCGTATGCGTGGCACCCGAGGGGGGGCTCGGTAAAGGATGGTGCTCATCGTCTCCATGCCCCGCCCCCTGCCTTCCATGGTGGCCGCCGCCCTTCACCACCAGGCCAGTGATGGTCAGAGGGAGGCAGTGAAGGGTGGGAGGAGGAGCCCAAGCCATGGATGCAGAGAGACCTCGCCTCAAAGCCCAGCTCATGCCTCCGTTTTTTCATCTGTAGAACAGGGACAGGAAAGCTGACCCAGACGAGCTGCCAGGAGCCACGGGTGAAGTGACAGAAGAAAAGCCCCAAGCCCCGAGCCTGGTAGCACGGAGTGCTCCTCATCCAATCTGTGGGACAGCACCTGGCCGTGTCCGGAACATAGTAGGTGCTTAGTAACTATTCTTAGAGAAGCAAATTGGCCTACAGCAAAATAATACTCTTAACAAGCTGAGCCTGGTAATAAGCCCCCTCCGTCCCAAATGTGGATACCTTTATTGTGCTGGCAAATATTTTGCCTGGAGGGAAAAACAGCCTCCCTGGTGGGAAGTTTCCGAGGGAGTTCCATCACCTCCCCTTCCTAGACAGATGGACCCTGTTTGCCTGCTGGCTCTTCGCTGCTCAGCACAAGGCTCCTCGACTCCACAGACTCCCACGCCTTTAAATTCGACAGGTTCCGCCCAAAATCCACAACCTGGGAACTGTCCCTCCATTTGACAAGCTCACCTTTAACAAGCTCATCTTTCCCTCTTCCTCTAAAACCCCCAAAGGTTAGGAAAATACCCGCAAGGCTTTGGGGCTCTTGTGATGCTCACCAGGCAGACACACACGGTGCAGTTCTCGTTGGGAGGGGAAAACACGTCCCCTTCAGCTCGGATGACGCCACTGTCAAAACAGCCTTTGAAAGACAAACAGGAGTGGAGGCATCAGACCTCTTCAAAGTAGAGGAAGCTTGAGGTCTCATTACTTTTCCAGGCGTAATGTACCTGGAACTTTCTCTCACCAGCCAGGACGCCCCAGGCATGGCAGATCCAGGTACCCAGGACTGTGCTGTCCTAGGACCCCTGGAGAAGTAAGCAGGAGACACCCGCAGAAGATGGCCCAGGAGGGTTCCATTCATGTCTGTAAACCCCGGACTCTATTGAGAACATGGCATTTTATTCCCATATGGCAAGAAAGGCAGCCAGGCAGCCCTGGGTTCAAAAACCTGGTCTGTCTGTTCAGTTAACCTGAGTGACCTTGGACATGTCACTTAACCTCTACGGACTCAGTTGTCTTTACTGTAAAATGGGAACACTACCACGTGCCCTGCAGGGGCCTTGGAAGGATCCACAACCTCACATGTCAGGTGCCCAGCCATTCACATTCAGGGCTCAGTATATAGTAGGAACATGGCAAAAGGTCACGATTATCATTAAGAAACCACTACGTCTATTCTCATTCTAACCCTTCGGAAGATGTCTTCACTGCAGCATCTTATCCCCAGAGCTTCAGAGAACACAGAATTTCAGGCCCCTCCCCAGATCTACGGAATGAGAAGCTGTGTTTTAACAAGATCCCAGGGATCCCCCTGTGGAGTGAGTTTGAGAAGCTCTGTCGAAGGACTCGTGAGGATTTAGGGTCTGTATCCCAACAGCAAGGGGAAATAAGTGAAAAACTGTAAGCAGGTTATGGGAGTAAATTGGAAAGGGGACAGACGGGCGCCTGGGTGGCTCAGTCGTTAAGCGTCTGCCTTCAGCTCAGGTCATGATCCCGGGGTCCTGGGATCGAGCCCCGTGTCGGGCTCCCTGCTCGGCGGGAAGCCTGCTTCTCCCTCTCCCTCTCCCCCCGCTTGTGTTCCCTCTCTCGCTGTGTCAAATAAATAAATAAAATCTTTAAAAAAAAAAAAAGGAGCGAGGACAGAATTTACAAAGGATTACTCTCCTGGCTGTAGGAGGAGAGTTGGGGCAGGGTACGGGGACTGCTGGGTAGATCTGGAGAAACTCACTGAATGAATGAATGAATGAATGAATGAAGCTCAAAAGGATCCCCAGAAGATGAAAAGTTCCCCCTGAGGGATACCACAGCATACACCAGTGGTTCTCAAAGTGTGGTTCCTGGACCAGCAAGAGCAGCATCACCCGGGATCTTGTTAGAAATGCAAACTCCTTGGGGCGCCTGGGTGGCTCAGATGGTTAAGCATCTGCCTTCGGCTCAGGTCATGATCCCAGGGTCCTGGGATCAAGCCCCACGTCTGGCTCCTGGCTCTGCAGGGAGCCTGCTTCTCCCTCGCCCTCTGCCTCTCCCCTGCTCATGCTCTCTCTCTCTCTCTCTGTATCTCTCTGTCTCAAATGAATAAATAAAATCTTTAAAAAAAAAAGAAATGCAAACTCCCAGGCCCTGCCCACACCGGATAAATGAGACCCAGAAATTAACCTCCAAGTGATTCTAATGTCCCCAAAAGTTGGAGAACAGCCTTTCAGCTGCAGAAGGGCTGGGGAAGGGAAGAAGTCGGACCATGTGGGGAACTCACAGCCTTCCCCAGACCAGCTCCCACCTGTACACGATGGGCAGCACCCCCCATCTTTGGAGGGAATCGGGTGAGAACAAGCAGCTTCACACGTCACCTTTTCACAGGTCACCTCCCCGTTCTGGAAGCAGAAGCAGGAGTTCCAGCCATCACAAGGCCCCGGACACCAGACCCGGGCAGGCCCCCCCAGGATCCCTCCCACCTACCTGACACCAGCACTGGGAACACCCAGGCTCTGTCCAGCGGCTCCCTGATTCATACATGGCTCCCAGGTGCCAGCAGGCAGAGGACCCCGGTGCCATCTGTGTGGCTGCTGGGCCCTTGGGCAAGGGCGGGGTCACCTCCTGTAATCGCGAGGGAGGTCCGAGGGTCCCCAAGAGGGAGGCACCAGGCACGGGGGTGGCCACCAGGGTGGCCAGCAGCCGAGTTGGGGCGGAGGGCAAGGATGTGGGTGGCACAGGGGTGGGAGACAGCAGGCTCGTGGTCCTGACCCCAGGTGGGGGCCCCGGGGCCCTGGAAGGAGGGCTGTGTCCGGGGGAGAGGGCAGGCCGGCCCGCCTCTGGGGGCAGCAGAAGCATCTTAGGCGGGTGCTGCAGGGGTTGCAGGATGGCCGATGGGGCCAGCACGGCTTTCGGGAAAGCTGAAACGGAAGACCAGGGGGCTTAAATGCAGCTCCTCCACCACCAGTCACTGGATGTCTCTGGACCAGTTTCTTCATCAGCAAAACGGGTCTAATACCACCAGTTCGACCCAAGACCACGGGGGCTGCAGTGACGATCGCACAAGGGGGATGGAAAAGCACCACAGGAGCAGGCTCAAGTGACAGGTTGGGAGTGGGTCCCCTGCTCCCGCCCCCCTCAGATGTGGCTTCCCAGGAGGGCATGCTGAGGTCGGGATGAAGGAACAGTCTGGGGAAAGCTTGCCGTGGACTAGAAAGAGCATGCTCAGTATTTAGATGACCTTGTACGCATGTTTACGGGCGCACTGCTGACGTATGTCAGAGTGAGCTGACCCCACACTGTCCAAAGTGTCCCTGGGAGCCCAGGCTCCCGGACTCCTGTCACATGCTCCTCTATCATTTGTTTTCCCGTTTTACCATTTGCAAGAAAACAAAAGCGCTAGGGAAACGGTAAAATGACAAGGGAGGATGAGGATAAAAAAGTGGAAGGCGTAAATGAGAAAGTGAAGAGTTGGAAATAACAAGATGAATTGAAAAAGAATGGATGGAAAAGGAAGAAGGCCCAAGGCCGGCAGGGGGCGGGGCCTGGGAGGGCCGGGGGCGGGGCCTGTGTGTGAGAGGGGCCCGGGAGGGCGGGGCGGGGCCCGAGAGGGTAGGGGTGGAGCCCGGGAGGGCAGGGGCGGGGTCTGGGTGAGCCAGGGGGGGAGGGGGTGGGGCCTGGGTGGACCGGGGCGGGGCCTAGCGTTGGGTCGGCGCCTGGGTAGGCGAAGGCAGGGCTGGTCGCTCACCTTCACAGGACACGCGATCAGCTCGGAGCCTGAAGCCAGGTCGGCAGGTGCACAGGAAGCTGCCCACGGTGTTATGGCAGGAGTGGTGACAGACTCGCCTCTCCAGAGGCCTCCGACACTCGTTTACATCTGTAGGAGAGCCTCGCTGCCAAAAGCTGCCTTGTTGGGGCGATCGACCCCTTCTTCCAACATCCCTAAGCCCAGAAAGCTGGGGAAGTCTCCTTGCCATGTTCTTATAGGGTCCATCCCTGCCTCAGGGTGTGGGACGTGACTCAGACATCTAGGAGTGGGGCTGAAATCCCTTTGGAAGGTTCATACACCCAGTTGGCATTTAATGGATGCACCAGTGACTCATCCCCCAGCACTACCCAGCGATGGTTACGCCCTGGCTGGTGGGGATGAGCCCCGCTGGGAATCTCATCTCCAAACCTTCCACCTTCCCACGTGTGGGTAGGGGATGGTGTGGCCCCTTCTGAAAAAGAGTCTCAAGAATCGTTGCACTGCTCAAGGTAGGCTTCGAGACAAATACCAAACTCTGCCAGAACAAGGTCTGTTTTCAGGCCCATGGGACCCCGCCTTCAACCCATGAGCCAAGCTTAAGCCAAACATGCCAATCCCTTTCTGGAAATTTCCGCTAATGGGCTGAGAAAACAGGGGTCTCCTTCTAAACCAGAGGAACCAAGACATAACATGCTTTATTTACCAAGGGGAGGAAAGGCAGCCAAGAAAATGGGTGAGCAGAGAGGAATCCTTGGGGCGTATCTGGGAGAGGGGTGGAAGAGAAACATAACAGGATAAAAGTGGCACGTGGCCAGGAAAAGTCCAAGACAGGGTCTTCCACGAGGAGCCACGCCAACCCCAGGGAAAGGCAGGCTCTGAGCAAAGGCTCAAGTGCTTACAGGCTCCAGGCGGCCAGGAGGCCCAGACCGCTGGCCCTTCCCTGTCCCTGGGCTCGCCCTGCCCATCTTCCTGACGGGCATCCTAAGTATGAAGACGACAGGGTCCCCCCACCTTACCTACACAGGAGTGCCGGTTGCCATGGAGATGGAAGCCTGGTCTACAGGAACACCGGTAGCTGCCTATGCTGTTTTTGCATCTCTGCTGACAGGGGGTCCCGAGGCATTCGTCAGTGTCTGCAAGGGACCAGGGCAAGGCTGCAGCTCATTTCCCCATGGAGTGTCAGAACCGTGTGCTCCCCTCTTCCTCTCCCGTTGCCATCCCCTCCCCCACCCAGGGCCGTGGGAGACCCTCCTAACCCCTCCTTTTCTCACCACCCACATTCAGCCTATCAACGAAGTCCTCTCTGGGTCAGCCCTCTTCTCTCCATCCTCACTGCCCTACCCCAGCCTGGGCCATCTTTGCCTCTGGTCTGGAGAAGAGCAACAGCTTGATGCATCTCCCCGTGCTCCTCCCAAGCCTTGTGCTACAGTGTCCCGGATAATCTGACCGAACATCCGGGCCACTCTCTGCTCCCACAGGCATCGATGCCGCACCACAGCTCACAAGCCCTGGACGGCCTTTCCCACCTCCTTCCCTGTCCCCCACCTTTGTTCTGCCACCTTCCAAATGCACCATGTTCTTGTGGGCCTCCCTCTTTGCCCATGTTCTTTTGTCTGCCTGGGATCCCTGTCCATCTTGTCTGGGGGAAAACTCCTACTCATACCTCAAAACTCAGCCTCTATAGTACCTCCTGTGTCAAAGCTTCCCCATGCCATTGTTTGAAATTGTGAAAAACTGGAAATAATGTATATGTCCATCAGTAAGAGAAGAGTTAGTCCACTGTGGGATCGTTGCACTGCAGAGCCCCAGGCAGCAGTTAAAAAAAGCAAGGCCAGTCCATTTACCCTGATGTGGAGAGATCTTCAAGACAGATTGCTGAGAGGAACAAGCAAGCAGAGGCTCAAATCCCAGCTCTAACATGATCTTGGGCAAGTTACTTAATTTCTTTAAGCCTCAGTGTTCCTATCAGGAAAATGGAAATAAACAGTACCAGCCTCACAAGTTCATTACGAGAAAGAAATGAGAAAATGCATGTAAAGTGCTTAGCACGATGCCGGAATCCAGCTCTGCACCTGTTAGCTGCTCATCCTATCTCTGTGAGTGTGTATGTGTGTGTACACGTCGTGGGGATAGGCAGGGAGGACATGCATCAGAGCAATAACCAGGTGCTAGGGTGAGCTGTGTTCCCCTAGATGCACATGTTCAAATCCTAACCCCTCATGTGATGGGATTTCGAGGTGAGGCCTTTGGGGAGTGATTGGGCTTAGATGAGGTCTTGAAGGGGGCTCCCTCATGATGGGAGTAGTGCCCTTATAAGAACAGCCCTCAGAGCTTGCTCTCTCTCTCCATGAGCACACAGCATGGAGACCGTCTGCAAGCCAGGAAGGGCTGTCAGCCGAAAGTGAACGGGCTGGCACCATGACCTCGGGCTTCCCAGCCTCCAGAACCGTGAGAATAAATTCTGTTGTGTAAATGGCCCAGTCTGTGGGATTTTGTTATAGCAGCCCAAGCAGACTAAGACATCAGGGTTGTTCCCGTGGGAGAGCGGAGCGCAGGAGTAGCAGAGAGGGTCTGGAGGTAGCCATTTTTAAAACTTATTTTACAATTTATGACTATTTCAAACAATAGAAAACAATACCACGCTTTCACGGGGGATCTTTTGCCTTATCTGCCTCGCTTCCTTCTGTAAGTAAAAGGCATCTTCAAGGAAGGGGTAATTATGTTACAAGATCTCCCTCATCCTGCTCACTCAGGAGCAGAATCCTTCTCTTCCTGGGGCTCCCCCAGCACTTACCCCTCACCCCAACGTCCTCCTGCCCCTCCCCACCAGATGGGGCAGCCAGGTCGCCAGCAGGGCAGGTGGAGCTAATGAAGGCAGTGGGTGAAGGACCTCTCCCATGGCCCTCCCTCATCTCAGTGGCCTCCTCCGTCCTGCCCCTGGCCCTCCCCTAGGCCTCTCCCGCCCTATCCCTCTACCCTGCAGAGCCAGCTCAGAGCAGGGGCCCTAGAGTTGGACATGCCAGGATTCAAGCTGACCCCAGCGCTTCCTGCTGGAATGGCCTTGGGTGACCCTCAGTTTCCCCATCAGTAAAGCAGGGAATGATAACAGGATCTGCTTCGGGGGACCGGGAAATGCAGTAATGCATGGAGCGCACACACGTTGGGCTGGGCGGGGCCGCCATGCCTTCGACTCTGAGCCCAGCCGCCGCGGCAACGGCATCATCATTACCTGTCCCCGGGCCACTCACCTTGGCAGCTGTGGCGGTCGGCAGCCAGCTGCATGCCCGGCCCACACTCACACACAAACCCGCCTTCTGTGTTCACGCACTGGCCCTCGCAGGAGGCGGTTAGGCATTCATCGATGTCTGCAAAGAGAGAAAGTATCCTTGCACAGACCACTCTGCACGTTGTTTGCGTACAGGGGAAGAAAAGTGACCCCACAAGGACGCTGTCCCCAAGCAAAGCCTGCCTTCAGCAGGGGGGAACCACCACCACCCCCCGACACACCCGAGGAAGAAAGACCAGGCACCACCAGGAAAGTCATCAGCCATGAGGGAACCACCAGAGAGCAGAGGCCGAGGGGCCAGGCTCCTTCTCTGTGACCCACACAGACCAGAGGACAGAGAGGACGGCTGAGACAGAACCATTTCCAATGGCCCCACCGCAGGGCAACCCTAGCAGGGCAGAGGGGAGTGAGCAGGAAGGCTGATTCAATTCCATTAAGTGCTTATTGAGCACCACCTGTATGCAGCAGATCTGAGGAGGACCGCTGAGGACACAAATGTGACCAAGACATGGCACAGACTCTCTAACTGGTTACAGTCTGATAACATTAAGAGCCACGCCACATGCCCACGAGGCCAGGGGAACCGCCTGGAGGACAGATGGGCAGAGGACCAGGAGGCACTGGGAGGAGAGAGAGCCTGAGGAGCTTCCTCCCGCCACCAGGCTGGCCAGAGCTGAGGTTCCTGCTGGGGCAGCGGGAGGCTGGAGCAATGGGTTGAGGCCCAGCTGTGGAGTGCCGAGGAGGCCCTGAGGCTTCTGCCCAGGGTGGGGTGACTAGATCCAAGCAGTCCTTTGGGGAAGTTCAGGACTGTGGGGTGAGGGGCGCCACCGAACAGAACTCCCCACCCTGGTTTCACGGCCTCCCTTCTCTAAGAACCACGGCGGCTCTCAAGGACCTACAAGATCTGTGTCTCCCACCCCCCGACCCCATGCCTGCCGGACACCTTCATTCTCCCCACTTGCTCTCCCCACAGCCAGCCCCTTGGGACCACACCCACCACCTCTAGAAGCCCACCCTGACTAACCCATCCCACTGGGATCCCTCATGGTGGTGCCCCCCCGCCCCCGCCTGGGGCTAGCTTTGACATTGTTCTCTGGCTGTCCCCAGTTCCGGTTTGCCTCAGCAACAAGAAGTGTGTGCAGAAAGTGCTCCCCAGGAAACATTCAGGGGAGGATGAATTGCTTCAGCCTTCCTCTGATGTTGCAATGAGCCCCGAGCACCAAAACTCCTCAGTGAGACCCTTGACCCAATGGTTCTCCCTCTGGGAATAAGGAGAGAGGCTGACGAGAAGCCTCTTTACTGCAGCCTTTACTAGGAGTAGTGAAACCCTGCAGAGAACCTACAGACACGGCCGCAAAAAATTATGCCATAAGGACTAGTCCCCCCCACAATATAAAGTGAGAAAAAGAATAAAAACTCTGCATAAGGTATGAGCCCAATTTATAAAACACACAGATATGCACACCTAACACACACACACACACACAGGTACACACACTCACAAACACACATCCAGGGAAAAGGGCAGAAGAAACAATTTCATTTTAGTAACAAATATCTCTGGGTAGGGACTTTGGGGACACGTTAGTTTTCATCTTCTACCCTTCTTTTACTTCCCAAAAGTTCCAAAATAAGTTATTTTTTACTTTCATGTGTGCGGAAGAAACATTATTTTTACCAAGTCAAAACTCAAAAAAAAAAAAACCAAAAAACCAAGGGTGGGGGCTTCCTTTCAGCTCTCTGGAAAGATATGCAAGAAACTGGTCCCAGTAGCTGCCTGTGAGGACGGTGACAGACTTCGCCTGTAAGAACGTTTTAGAATCCCAAACACACAGCACTTTTACAAAATAAGTATTGAGGTTGGCTTTCCTCGTCTTTCAAACATCACGATCCCAAGGGAGCTTTCCGCGGTCAACCCACCTGCAGTGCCGGTTATCCGCCCCTCCGTGGGCCCGGCTCCCGGCACCTGGCCAGTTACGGCCCCATCACATGGGACCGTGCTTATCCTGACCTGTCTCCCCTCCTCCTGTTCAGAAGCAGGGACCAAGCCACCACGCGTCACCGCAGTCCCTAGCTCAGTGCCTGGCCCATAAGAGGTGCTCATTAGCAGAAGGGGCCCATTTCTTGGGTTTGCCTGCCTCCCTGCCCACGCTCCCAGCAGAGCTCGGCCTCGCTCGGCCTGGCCTGCATCTCTCCGGAGACTGTCCTGGCAGGATGGACAGACGGATGGAGGAGGAGACAGAATTCCAGCCCGCCGCACCCCCCATGGCGCCCAGGTCTCTCACCAGTACACCTGATGCCGACAGCCGTCTCTGTCATGGAGAAGCCCACAGGGCACACTCGGGCCACCTCCTGACAGCCGCCATGATTACAGGTAAGGTCACAGCCGTACTCTCCACAGGGTCCGTGGGCTTCTAAAACAGGCACCACACCCGTGAGCACACCACACGCCGCAGTGCCCGCCACCCCCACCTCACCGGGGCTCCTCCTAAATCCTGCTGGGAAGGTGGCCCTGGAGGCTTAAATCCAGCTCTGGCACTTACTAGCCAGGTAACCCTGGGCAAGCCACTAACTTCTGTGCCTCAGTTTCCTCATCTGTAAAATGGGGATGAGAAGGTCTACCTAAGTGGGTTGCTGGAAGATGATATTCTAAGTAAGACAAAAGCCCAGTGCCTGGCACATAGTCGCAGCGCCAAAAGAATTCTTCCCATCAGCCATGGCCCAGCCCCGGTTACCTGGGCAGGTGGCTCCTTGCTCTCCATCCTGGCAGGAACAGACGTTGGGAGCAATGCAGATGCCACTCCCACAGCCAAAGGAGCAGAGGGCTGAGAGGAGAAATGCAGGTGAGGGAGTGGGGGCCCTACACAGGCCAGCCCAGGGAGCCAGCGCCCTGCTGGGGAGGGTGTCTGGGGCATGGGAACAGGCACTTACGCAGGGTGCAGTGCCCGCTGCCCACGGAGGGGGCCCAGCCAGGGCAGCAGCCACTCCCGAAGCCCGAGAGGCAGACGTGGGGGCCCAGCCGGCGTCTAGGAGAGAGGAGAGAGCACTTGCCACATTTCTGTTCTGGGTGAGGGATTGGCCTGCCGTGCAGTCAGTAAGTCAGTCAACAAACAGTTCTTGAAACCCACCAGAGGGGCAGTGGGAAGTTCCCAAAGAAAAATGACCCAGACTCTCCTGGAGGCAGGACAAAGACAAAGGTGTGAGAGAACAGACAGCAGCCTCCTACAGAGACCTGCCATGTGAACACGGAGCAGAGTGGCTGGGGGAAGGGGGGGCGGGCAGCCTCCTACAGGGACCTGCCACATGAACATGGAGCACAGTGGCTGGGGGGGGTGGGGTGCTCAGAGGGGCCTCAGCACTGAGGGGGAAAGATAGCAATAGATGAAGAGCCCCAGGCATGGCTGCCATAGGGCCTTTGCACTTGCAGTTCCCTCTATCAGGAAGGTTCTTGCTGAGAAATGTACCCAGCTCACTCCCTCCTTTACCCAGGTCTCTTCTCTGCTCATGCGCCTTCGCAGAGAGATCCATCTTACCCACCCTTATCTTGCTTTATTCTTCTTAACACTTACTTCCTGGGACCTTACATTACTTATCAATTCGTTGATTCGTTCATTGTCTGTCTCCCCTCTCATTCTCTGAGGAGCAGGGCTTCATCCTTTTTGTTTCCCTCAGTGTCCAGAGCAATGCCTGGCAAATAGCAGGTGCTCACTAAATGGCTGTTGAGGGAAAGGTTGAGAAAGGAAGCCAGCAGAAAAAGGAGGAGGGCAGCCCCAGGGGAGCCAGAGATGTCATTCCCCAGGTGTGGGTGCCAGTAAAGGGGAGCCAGAGTGCCCGACACTGGGTGATGCATGGCAGAAGAGCCATGAACGAGCCACTTTCCCCTCCCCCAGGGGCGCTGGGCAGACAAAGACCCAGGTGATAACAAAACAATGTAACCAGTGCCCCACAATGGGACAGGCTTTGGAGTCCCCAGGAGGGTCAGGGGAGGTTTCCTGGAAGGCCAGGATCTGGGCTGAGACAGGCAAGAGAAGGAGCAAGCTGTGGGAGTGGAGAAGGGGAGGGAGCAGCAGGTGCACTGCCCAGACTGGGTCGGAGGCGGTGACTGGAACTGGTCCTGTGATGGGCTGGGCAGAGTGATGGAGTCCAGCCCGCTCTTAACTGGGAATCCTGGCACCACGGAAGAGGGACAAGAAAACCCTCCCCAACTGTGCGCTCCCCCTGCTGGGAATATCCTGCCGGTCAGGCAGTGTACGGAGCATCCCCCAGGTGCCAGGGGCGGCAGCAGGCCCTGGGGGACAAGGATGGCGAAGGCAGACTCGCTCCACTCAGGGAGAAGAGCTGTCAAATGTGACAAGTACTCTGGGAAGGAGAACTGCGGGCACGTGGCAGCACAGAAACACCTGCAGCAAACTGTGCCTGGAGCCTCAAAGAGACGTTTCCTTCTCTGAAGTCATCACAGAAGAAGCAAGGAAGCGGGGCCCTGGGGGGTGGGAGGTGCCGGCAGCCGCGCTGTGTCCCCACCGCCCCGGCTAGAGCCATTATGGCGGCAGCCTGGGAAAGCGGAGCCCGCAGCTCCTTCTCAGACGGGGCTCCGGAAGGATGCCCCGGAGGCTGGTGGAGCCGCACCCTCGGGTGGGCGGGGGCCGAGCGCCCCAAGGAGCCTCCTCGGGCGGGCGCTGACGGGGAGACAGGTGGCTGGAAGGCTCCGAAGCGCCGCGGAGCCGGGCCCATCTGGGCAGGAACTGGCGGTGGCTGCGGAACACACGCGCGAGCTGCGAGCCCGGTGGGGCCGCCCCCCTGCGCGCCCCCCGAGGCGGTGGCCGCGGGCCAGGCCGCGCGCTGACACCGTGTTCCCTCGCACGGAGCATCACGCACACACGCGCTCGCGGCCCGCGGCGGCCCGGCCTTCGCCGGGAGGAGACTCGAGGGGAGGGTGGCATCCATCGGGAGAGAGCAAAGGGGCAAACACCCCACCCCCGCCCGCGCGCACACACAGGCGGAAAGCGAAACGTAACCCAGGGAGAGCCCGGCGGTTCCAAGGTCCACGGCGTGCGTGCAGCCTGGACGCAGGGGAAGCCCCCAGCCCCGGAGCGGCAGCGCCGGCCGGGGAGGCCCGTTCGCCAGCGACGGCCAGCCGCTCCGGAGACCAGGTGGCACGTCCCGGGCTGCCCTCGCCAGGGGTCCACGCCCCAGGGCAGACTCAGAGGGGCTCACGCAGCGCCTGGATCTCCAGCACCCCCCCGCCACCGGTCCTTGCCAGGACAGCTCCCGCCCAGAGCACAGGCTGCTGTCTCTTTGTCCGGACCCCCTGGGCTGCGCCCGCGCGCGGACAGCGCCCCGGAGGGGAGCCCCGGCCGGCGGCTGCCGGCGGCTCCCGGGAGCCCCTCTGCCCCACGCCGGGTGCGCCCCCGCGACGGGACAGGGGAGGGGCGCGAGGCGCTTACCTCTCGGCCGCGAAATGCCCGGGCGGCTTCCTCCCGGTGTAGCCGCGGGCCGGGGCCCCCGGCAGGAGGAGCGCGACGCAGGCGGCCCGGAGGAGCAGCAGTCCGGCCCACATGACCGGCGGCGGCGGGTCCCCCCGGCTTGGCTGGGCTCTGGCGCGGCGCGCGGGGGAGGGGGCTGCCGGCCCTCGCCCCTCCTCCTGGCGCCGCGGGGAGCGAACCAGCGAGCCCCGAGCTGGCACGCGGAGCGGAGCAGGGGGGCTGGGGACTCCGAGAGGAGGGGCCGGGGGCCGCGAGGAGACGCGGCGGACGGCTGGGGGGGGTCTCTGGCACCTCGGAGCGAAACACACAAAAGGTAGCGCCGCCCGCCGGCCGGTGGCCTCTTGGGGAGGCGCGGAGCCCGGGGCGGGGGCAAAGATCAGGGACCCCTGGGGGCGGGGTTTCAGCCTCGGCCCACGCCCCCTGCCCGGGTTTGGGAGTCGGCTTCCTGCGAAGGGCTGTGGGCGTCAGACTGAGGCCGGGGGAGGAAGGAGACTGCCGGAGCAAGGCTGGTGCTGGAGGCTGTGCGCCCGGGGAATTGCTGGTCTCGGTGGAGCCGGAGTTGCCAGCGTTGTCCCGAGAAGGTGGGACGCTGGGTCATTTCGTTGCTGGGCAGTTCTAGGCTGGCTCCCCGCCAGCCAGCAGCAGGTCTGCACACTGGTCCTGGGTGTGCGGGTCAGTGGATCCACCCCTGGCCAGGGGGCACTAGCGGGTCTTGAACCTAGAGGCTCCTCTTTGCCCCCTTCTGCAGCTGCCCCAGGTCACAATCAGAGACTGGGAGGCGGGGAAGTGGTGAGCAGGTGGAGGAAAATCGGGATCATCCAGTGGGAGAAAGCGGGAAGGATGACCCTCTGCCTTGTGTAGGAATCCTCCCTAGGCACCCAGATCCTTGCTTAAACACTTCCAAGGATAAGGAACTCACTACCTGTCAAAAGGCAGCCCAAGCCAGTTTTGAAAAACTACATTTGTCAGCAAGTGCTTTTATTTCTCAGCTTAATAACCCCAGTTCCTTTGGTTCTGCCTCTGCAGCTGCCCTCCCACTGGCTACCTTAGGCTGTCACTGAGCTCCTTTACACTGGTGACCACAAATGACCATGGGGTGCCAACAATGGTCTGTCTGGACTCTAGCTTCTTTCCTTCCAGATACCATACTTTTATTAACACAGCCTAATAGGACTTGGTTTTTCTGGCAAACGCATGATGCTGGTGGTTCATAACAGTCTCCACTGGAGGTGTTTCTGGCTGTCACCCTTTTATGTTGCTACTGTTGTTTCCTAAACACAAGTGGCTTACTAAGGCAATCTCCCTACCTGAACCTGTGTGCTTGAGCTTTCCCAGACGTTCAGATTTAGGCCCATTATCTCACCTTGTTAGTCTTGGTCCATCTTCTAATTTAAGCAATACATCCTCAGCAAGTAGATCACCAAAATACTCTGTATCATGAGTGCAACTTTCATACGTATGTCCATCCTGAGTCCTAAGGACGCTCAGGCTCCTACAGAATCTTTCTTTTATGCCTTAAACATACAAAGGCTCACTTTCTCCCTGCGCTGCTCATGCTGAATTCCTGTTACTTAAAAAGTGTTTCAAGGGGCACCTGGGTGGCTCAGTCGGCTGGGCGTCTGCCTTCAGCTCGGGTCATGATCCCAGGGTCCTGGGATCGAGCCCCGCGTTGGGCTCCCTGCTCAGTGGAGCGTCTGCTTCTCTCTCTCCCTCTGCCTGCCACTCTGCCTACTTGAGCTCTATCTCTGTGTTTCGGTGTTTGGGCACCTGGGTGGCTCAGTGGGTTAAGCGTTTGCCTTCAGCTCAGGTCATGATCCCAGGGTCCTGGGATTGAGCCCCACATCGGGCTCCCAGCTCAGTGGGGAACCTGTTTCTCCCTCTCCTCCCCAGCTTGTGCGCTCCCTCTGCCAAATGAATAAATAAAATCTTTATCCAAAAAAAAGTGTTTCCGTGTCCACATTGTTGAGAATCTAGCCTTGATTTATTCAAGAATAGGGATAAACACAAAGCCCTTCCTTCACTTGAGCCCACAAAACCTACCACACCACTGCCCTTTATCTTTGCTACCTAGGCCACCACTCAATGTCAAACAGGTGCTCCTTCCTGATACTAGAAGCCCCCCACAAATGCTCAACACAATTACGCTGGACAAAAATTCCCTTTTACACACCTGTCCCTCCTCATGGCAATCCTCTCCCACACTCTGGCACACCCCGCCTACCTCCTCCCTGAACTCCGCTACTCTTTCCGCCCCCCCCCCCCAAACAACCTCATCCCCGCCTCAGGCTCACCGGGAACTACGGCAGGGTTTGCTCCAGACTGGTCAGTGAGCAGCGGGCATAGCTGAGATGCAACTTTGTCCTTGAAGAAAATCCTCATTTTCCCTCAAGACAAACTCAGGATATTTAAGACTTAGCAAATTCCTACTGGTGAATTTCAAAAGAAACACCTCTCTAAATAGCCCCTGGCATTTCCTTCCTTCCCCTGATGGTTCCTTTTGACTTAATGGCATTCACCTTGCTCCTCTTAGAATGTTTGCTTCTTTCCCTTGGTGTTTGCTCCTTTTTGCCTTTTGTTAGACCTTGAGGCTTCTCAAAGTTTGAGCTCTGAGAGATTCTAACTTAATATTGTTCATCTTCAAGGACTGGTTTATCCCCTGGTTACAGCTCCTCCGTGTTTCCTCCCCACTTCTGTGGCCTGTGGCTTCTCCGTAACAAAAGGGACCCTCCACTGAGGGTGGAGGATCCAAGTTGTTGTTGGCTGCAGAAAGGCAGCCTCTGGCTTGTGACCCTTCCAAATGGTCATGTGATGAGTCAGTGTTTCTATTATTCTCCCAAAGGTCCATTCGTGCAGAGGCCTGGAGTAAGCGGCTCATCAGCGCCTACATGGAAAGGAGCCATTCCAGCTGGCTGCAGCAAAGCTCCAAGGGCAACCTTTCACCCCTGGAGAGGTGATTAATGGTTTTTAAGAGGGGATGTGGGAGTGTGGCAGCAGAATGTCAGTTTCCAAAGGATTGCTGGAATTCAATCCTGAGTGAATATACCCAAGATTATAGAAAACAAACAAAAAAACTGCAAGGACTCCAAGGCTCCCAAAGTCAAGACTGAAGCCACTGGTAATAACCTTCTACTCCATGTAGCAGGTCTCCATGGTGCAGGTCAGACCACGAAAAAGCACCAGAATATTCATCCCACCACCTTCTCTTTCTGATCTTAGCACCTTATAGGCAATCCTCCATCCAGGATTAACATTTTAAAACAATCACCATCTGGAGACCGTTGCTTGCTTGCCCCATTAAAGCTCGTCTCTGGCATGGGGGCAGGCCTTTTCAATTCAAACCATGACTTGAAGAATTCAAATCAGTGTTGAGTTTCAAGTTCAAACTGTGGTTTTTGAGAGATGCTGATGATTTTTTCCCTTTAGGACCCTTATCCCCCACCCTCAGAAATCCCAGAAGAAGAAGGGGAAAAGAACAGTAATGAAACACAAGGAATGCCTCCACGGAAGGAAACGGACTCCAGAAGACCCCCAAAGTAGAGATGCTTCCTTGCCCTTTCTCTTTTAAGCTAGAATCTCTCAAAACCACAGTTTGAACTTGAAACCACAATTTTCCTGACACTGTATCAAAGGCTGGTCTTAAAGGAGCCTGCCAATATGCCTAAGATCAACCCTACTCTCCACTGTTGGGACAGAGCAGCCTTTATTCCCACTGGATCACTGGTGGAAATGTGGGCCCAGGCACTCTGACCCACTGAGCTGAAAGAAGACAGGCTCTGTTTGCTGGACAGAAGGGTGAACCCCAAATGTGTCCTACTCCTGAATTTTCAAACCAAAGGCGCCAAAGGTTTACTTGATTAAACCAGAGGAAATAAAATCAGCCTCCAAAGGGCATGTGGCAACAGGAAGCTGGGAGGTGCATGAGGAGCCACTTGCCCTGGCAAAGGAGCAGTGCCACAGGGGCTAGCTGGCCGGGCGCTGTGCACATATCTAAAATGAGATCAGGAAAGGCAGCCCAAGCAACTCCCAGGCTCAGCAGGTTACTAACAGAGACAACTGGGAATCACATGGTGGCTAGAGAGTCAAGAGCACCCAAAGACCACTGAATTTTGAAAACCTGACACCCGTCATCCTTGGGATCCCGCCAAAAATGACCGCATGGCAAAGGAAAGACACAGAGCTCATTTCACTACTCGAGAGGAGCTGTGGCAGCAGCCGCTGCTCTAAGGAGGGAGACAACTGTGCCTGGACTGGGCATCGTGTGACTGGGATGCTGGGAAGCTGGGGAGCAGGAAGGAAAGCGGAGGCAAATGGATCTTTCTTCTTAGATTCTACTTTATTTGGTAAAACTCAGAAACTAACAACCAATTCACGGCCCCCCACCTCCTTCCCTCTGAAGAAGGCAGCTCCCCAGAGATAAAAAGGCTATGGCGGCTTGGGTATCACCCACCATCTCCAGGTTTCAGACTCGGGCAGCTCATGGCCTGGTGGTCAGGCCTCCAGACCCAAAGCTCTCAGGCAACAGAGAAAGCAAAAGGAAGCTCTCACTTCAGAGACAATGAACCCATCTCGCCTCTCTTCCCCCTACTCACGGCCTCCCCGCACCCCCAACCTAAATAAAAAGATAGCAGAGGACAACGCATGAGTGTGAGAGACACACGCACGTGCGCGCGACACACACACACACACACACACACACACACACACAGCACACGCACAGAGCTTCCTTTCAGCCCAAGAGCTGCAAAATCCCTCCCTGGAAGGAGGACAACTGGCAACACCAATCAATCCTTGGTGTCCAAAGTGATGGTTGGAATCCTCTGGGACTGGTAAAAATCCAGGGAGAAAATATTCCACCTTCACCCCATTCCCAGGTCTCCAGTGAACTGGTTTTAGTTCAAAGAAATCCCCATTTCCACACAGGTAGACTGTGGCTTCTGGGACAGCTGGCTTAGGGAAAGGCTTCCCACGGCTGAGAAGACAATGGTGGGGGAGGGGAGCAGGGCAGGAGAGCAAAGCCTTCGGGGAGGGCCTGGGAAAGGGGCTCCCAGCCCTGGGCTAATGGATCCGCGTCAGCTCCTCCACAACCTTGATCAGGTCATCTGCCGTGGCCTCTCGCTTCATCCCGCTGCCATCATCATACTGCAAGGAGGAAAGGGGAGGGCTGTAAGGGCCACAAGGGCACTCTCCTTCCCGGGGGGAAGGGGACAATCACAGCAAGAGGGCACCTGGCCCCACTGCTGCCATGGCAAGGAGGAAGGTCTCACACCCCTCTCCTGAAAGCCACAAGTCAGCAAGGTCTACTGATGGCAAAGCTGGTTCGGAGGCCACCATCTGGCATACATCTCTCCCCCTTCCAGGATGTTCCCCAGAGGCACCATCTCCAGGGAGCAACACCCCAAAACTCCACACTGTGGAAACTTCTCTGCCCTGCAGGATCCTGACCTGATCCCTGTGCCTCCAGTCTGGGTTGCCAGAGATCCCTCACGTGCCCGAACACGCCCTCGCTGCTGCAGCAGTCACACGGGGGGGTTGTTCCTAGTACTGTGCCATGCCCCTCAGCTACATCCCCTGCCCTCAGACTCCACTTTCCCACGGGGGAAGGGCCATCTGCACTTGGGGATCGAGGGGGCGGCACCCGGCGCTCCGACGCTCTCCAGCACGCCCAGCCCTGCCATGGACTTGGGTCACAGGCCCAGGGCCAAACATCGCACAGCTCACCTGTAGGTTTGCCACAACCTCCTGCATCTTGGGCCGGCTGATGTCCAGGAAACTCTCGATCAAGTCTCCATCGATGAAGCCCGTGGCTGGTTCTGTCTTTCGCTCAGTATGAAAAGATCTCCAGGTGGACAGGTGAGTTAAGGAATGTGCGGTATCTGCAAACAGCCTTACTCTCGGTCACCCCCACCTCTGCACAGACCACAGTCTAAAGCAATCATCAGGGGCACCTGGGTGGCTCAGTCGTTAAGCATCTGCCTTCGGCTCAGGTCATGATCCCAGGGTCCTGGGATCGAGCCCCACATCGGGCTCCC